TACAACAGTTTTGCTTTAACATGCTCTGTTCAGAGCTGTCGTTATCACAACCATTAGAGCTCCATGCTGAGCGCCAAAAGGACTGTTGTGGCTGACTCCTTCCCACTGAGCAGCCCAGCCTGGTGCAGGGCATGCTCCCATCACACAGCAATGATCAAACATCCCTGTACTGCAAACATTGACTCAGCTGAAACCAAGACAATGAGGCATCGTAAGATACAAAGAACTAAGTTTCAGAGATGGGTAGAAAATTCTCAAGACAATCGAGAACTGGAAGAATATTTAGCGGCTCCAGGTCTCAACTTTATCATCAGTTACACTCAGCCTCTTGAATGGAAAGTGTCAATACCTTTTTCCTTTGATAGCCCAGAGGAATATAACGGTGCAAGTATCACATGACGACGAGCTACCTGCCTGCCGCTGCTCATAGCCTCATCTGTTCAACCTGCAGCAATCTGAGACTTCTTGCACAAAACTGAATTCTGACAACATGCACAAAAATAGTATCTGGAACAGGATTCCCTTCCAACATCCTCCACACACTGCATCATCCTACTAGGACATTGCACATGCAATTATTGCACTTCAGCCAAGGATAGCCTAATTAAAAAATCTTGTTTCTGTTGAATGCCAGCACAGGTCCTACACTGCACATTTAGTTTGCTCAACTGGAACTGGAAACTACTTTGTTTCCTCCTATCTTTCCTGCTTCAATTTTTATTTCTTTTTGTTTGTTCTCCAGCAGCAACCACTAATTAAAGAAGTGAAAATCTGCTTATCTTTTCTGATGGTAATCTTCACCTGAGATTTGGGATTATAATACATGGTCCTGGTAGAATGTCCTGTGCAGACTGCAAAAATAAATGCCGTTCTAATTTAGTGAACTCTTCTGGTAACATTTCACCACTATTAGTTACTTTGCAGACGTAGTCAAAGGAGACCTTAAAAATCATCAAGCATGACAGTAGATAAATCAGGCTGTCTCAGTGGAGTTAAGGAGGCCTCTCTAATTTGAAGAACTCAGCACTCGGATACAAACTCCCCAAAAGAGTAAATACAGCAGGACATAGAGAACAAACTGCAGAACGGCTTGGGTTGAAAGGGGCCTCAAGAATGATGAAGTTCCAACACCCCTGCCACATGCAGGGCCAACAACCTCCCCGCCACATGCAGGGCCACCAACCTCCCCATTTAATACTAGACCATGTTGCCCAAGGCCCCATCCAACCTGCCCCTGAATACCTCCAGGGATGGACAGGGCATCCACAACCTCTCTGGGCAGCCCATTCCAGCACCTCACCACTCTCTTTGTAAAGAACTTCCCCCTGACATCCAACCTAAATCTTCCCTCCCTCAACTTAAAACCATTTCCCCTTGTCCCGCTGTTATCAACCCTTCCAAAGAGTTGGTTCCCCCCCTGTTTATATCCCTTTAGATACTGGGAAGCTGCAGTGTCACTCTGCAGCCTTCTCCAGGCTGAACAAGCCCACTCCCTCAGCCTGTCTTTGCAGGGGAGGTGCTCCAGCCCTCTGATCATCTTTGTGGCTCTCTGGACCATCTCCAAAAGCTCCCTGTCTCGTATTGGGGACCCCAGATCTGGACACAGTACTCCAGATGGGGCCTCACAAGGGCAGAGTAGAGAGGGACAATCACCTCCCTGTCCCTTCTGGCCACCCCTCTACTGGAGCCCAGGATACCATTTGCTTTCCGAGCTACAAGAGCACACTGCTGGCTCACGTTAAGATCCACCAGATCCCAGGCCCTTCTCTGCAGGGCTGCTCTCAAGGATTGCTCTTTCTAGTCTGTATTTCTCCGGCCCAAGTTCAAAACCTTATACTTTGCTGTGTTGAAACTCATTAGATTCACCTGGGCCCACCTGTCCAAGTCTCTTGAGGTCCCTCTGAATGGCATCCCCTCCTTCCACTGTGTTAACTACACCACTCTGCTTGGTGTCACCAGCAAACTTGCGGAGGGTGCACTCGACTCCATCATCAGTGTCACTGATAAAGATGTTAAACAGTACTGGTCCAAGACAGACCCCTGGGAGACACCACTCATTACCAGCCTCCATCTGGACATAGAAGCACTGATCACCGCCCTTTGTCTGTGGCCTTTCAATCAGTTCTTTATCCACTTAGTGGTCCAAACTATCCCTTGTTACACTTCTCTGCTGGACTTAGCAAAAAACTACAGGTTTCCAGCAAGAGCAGGGAGGTCACTTGAGCAAGTAAGCCCTGGTGGTTCTGACAACACAAGAATACAGCAATAGTAGAAATCCATAGTTTCTTCAGACTTAAGTTATCGAGGATTTATGAACACTTGATACCTTGAACTCCTAAAACACATACAGAAGAAAATTCTTATATGGCCTCACTATGTTTTTAAGTAACATATTTGCATATCCGCTTGCATGAATTAGAATCGCATTCACGGTATTCAAATATTAAGAAATGATTTTGCCTAAGTCAGCTCTAGAAAGTATCTACTCCATCTGCACAGTAAGAAGTAAACTACTCAAGGCTGTCTCTGAGCATACTGTAATTTCAAATTATTCCTGCAAGGGACTACTTCAGACACGATAGCCAGCTGAGTCAGGAGCCAATGACTATGCAATTGTTTACTGTAAACTACTACACACAGAATTAAAACTAAAAAAACAGTCATAAACATGCAAATTTCTGGCACAGAAGAGATATCCCATTGCTGCTGAAGTCTTCGGCATGCACACCTTGGGAAAACAAGGTACAAGTATAAGAGAATCTGTTGCATTCAGTGCAGTGAAGTGTTCCTCAGGGGTAATTATTGGAACTGGCACCATTTAACATCTTTGTTGGTGATGTGGACAGTGGAATTGAATGCACTCTCAGTAAGTTTTCAGAGAGCACCTGTGTGGTGCAGTCAACATGCTGGAGGAAGGCATCCAGAGGGACCTTCACAGGCTTGAGAGGTAAGCCTATGCAAATCTTGGAAAGTTCAACAAGGCCATGCACAAAGTCCTGCACCTGGGTCAGGGGAATCCCAAACATGAATATAAGTTGGGTGATGAGCGCACAGAAAGCAGCCCCGTGGAAAAGGATTTAGGGATAGTGATGGACAAGAAAATGAACATTAGCCAGCACTAATTTGCACTCACAGCCCAGAAAACCAACCATGCCCTGAGCTGCATGGAGGTGGCCAGAAGGGCAAGAGACACAACTGCCCTCCTCTCTATTCCACTCAAGAGGCTCCACCTGGAGTACTGTATTCAGCTCAGGGGCCCCCAGTACAAGGACCTGGAGATGTTGGAGAAGATCGAGAAGGGGTCATGAAGATGCTCAGAGGGCTGGAACACCTCTCCTACAAAGGAGGCTGAGGGAACCAGGCTTGTTCAGCCTGGAAAAGAGAAGGCTCTGGGAAGATCCCAGAAAGATCTTCCAGTATTTCAGGGGGCCTAAAGGAAAGATGGAGAGGGACTCTTCTGTCAGAGAGTATAGTGACACAACAATGGGCAATGGCTTTAAACTTCAGAAGGAAAATACATTATATATAAGGAATAAATTCTTCACTATGAGCGTAGTGAGGCATTGGAACAGGTCGCCCAGAGAAGGTGTGGATGCACCCTCCCTGGAAGCATCCTGAGCTCCATCAGATGGGGCTTTGGACAACTCCATCTAGTGAAAGGTGCCCCTTCTCATGCCAAGTGGGGTGGAACTAGATGGTCTTTAAGGTCACTTCCAACTTAAACTATTATATGACCTGATGATCTTGTGTAACTGCAGAAGTTGCCAAGCTTCCACAGCAAGTTTTTTGAAAACATGGCACATACTGCTCAGTTAGTGGAAAAGAATAAGCTACACTTAACTTTCTTTAATACTATCATTTTTCTACATGTAGAGTGGCTTGCTCACAGTTTTGAAATCAACAGTATTATTCAGACTGGACATCAGTAAAAATTTATTTATTTGTGAGAGTGGCAAAACACTGGATAGGCTTTCTAGTAAGGTGTTTGATGCCCTATGTCTGTCAGTGCTCAAGATGCATTTGGGTAACATGTTTTAAATTTTGATTAGATCTCAAGTATTCAGGTAATTGGACTAAAGGATCTGTAAGTTCCTTCCAAATGTAGTATTTTATTCTACTCCTGTTTTATGTTTGAGAAACTGCACATAGCATGTTATCTTGAACTCTTCACAAATCTTCATGATCTCATCTGTGTTTCTGATTGTGATAGCCTGCTGCTCAGTTTGAAGAGAACCACTCTGTTTTTTCTAATAATGTTACTTCCACTAGAAAACTGCAAGTGTCTCACTAAACTCAACACCTTCTTGAAAAACACACACAGAACTCTGCACTTTATCTTCCACCATCCAGGAACAGTACTACAAAGTAGTCAGTGTCAGTGCCAACACAAAAAAACATGACAGAATAATTCTTTGAAGAAATGTGTTTTTATATTCTAAAAATGCTTTTTTTGAAAATTGAGGACAATTGTTATCAATAATATCCCAAATCTACAGACTTTTTATTCAATCTTTGATTCAATCCAAAGCATCTCTTCAGCTGCTTTAGAAGCAAAATGGAATATGACAAATGAAGCACTGAAATTTCTTGCCATGTGTCTAACATCAAAAATCCTAAGGAGCAAAAACACTATAATACTGTAATACCTTACTCACCAACTCCATTAAATTTACCATGTGTTATAAGCTGTTTTATATTCCTTTCCATACTGTAATACACACTGATAAGGAATTGGAGAAAATGCATAAGAACGTGAAAAACAAAAAAAGCTGCATGACCCGTGCTAGGTATCTCTGGAGTGCTTTCCACCATAGCCTAACATGTATGGACTTCTGAATTTAAACTTAACAGAAAGTTGGATGGAATGATATGCAGTTTTTCCACTACAACCAACAAAGAAAGGAGGGGTAGTGGAGAAGAGAATTAGCCTATTTTCCTTTTCTTATACAGGATTTTTAAGGATTTAATAACACCAGCAGTAGCATAGATACAAAAATTACCTGTGTGTGCTGAGAGAGGTGAATGAGGTCGAGGCAGAGCTGGAGACTGGCCATTGCCCATCAAACTCTTTCGATTGCTTGTTCTACAGCTGTTGGGAAAGAGGAAAAAAAAGACATAAGCATCAGAAATACATCACACACCACATACGAACACTTTGCCTTTTTGCTTATTTGTTCTTTCGCTTCCCAGCCTCCTATTAAAATTCAGTGCTATTGCTGATTTGTAGTACTTCTATGAGTTTAGGAAATCTATGAACATCCTCGATAATGACAAAGACAGCAGTTTCCAAAGAAAAAGCACAGCAGAAACTTTTCAAGCCTGCATGTCTGCCATTCTGCCATTCAAAGAAAAGCACGTCCCTGTAGAGTCATTAACAAAATCCTCTTCCGTATCTGCAGCTTTCTTCTCTGCCTTACTTTTTAAATAATGTATAAAAACATACAAGTGCAATCTTAGAAAAATCTCAGCTTATAATCACTATTCAATGATTAAATCTATTTCTGTTACATGAACTGTAGCTCCAACTTACAAGCCAGCAAGAGCAACAATTTATCAATCTATGATACAATAATTATAAATTCAATTATTGAGATAAATTTTGCATCTGTGCCTTTTGTCAGTGAAACAGATGATGCCTACAAAGATGAATGCATTTTTTTACTCAGACATTTTTCATCTGCAAAGCCACTAATTTCCCTTATCACAGGATCATTAAGCAAGATAAATAGTAAATTAATGAATCTATTAAACTTGAGAGGACACACTTTTCTTAAATACACCACACAATTTTTAAGTGTTTTTTTTTCTTAGAGATATTTTATTTTCTCTTGTTTACTGCAGCTACTACAGTCATAAATATGAATCCTCAACACTTCAAACAGTTAATGCCAAGTTATTAACTACCATATCACTATATTATTATAGCGAATTATACATTAACTTATGCATATCTATTAATAATAACAACTGATCTACTTAAGAACAGAAAACAAAAAATGACTGAAGTAGTAACACCTGAAGTACAGAAATCACATAAAACAGAGACGCACTCCAATTTCTAAGCTGACTAAAGAGATAAATCTTCTCAAATGACAGAGAACATATGTTTTAAAGAATCCTCCTAAATTTGGTTATCTTATGAGAAGTATGTTTAATGTACTCACTATGTAACCTACTTTTTAAGTGACAGAACTTCAGCAAATACTCCATATCTTATTAGACAATTCCAAAGTCTTCTTGTTTCATCTCATCTCTAGATTTTATCAGGCTGAAGAATTACATGTGATTGTCCTCTTATTAGGAATAGTCCAAATTCTTCCTTTTGACTTCATGTAATATCACTGTACTTTCAGTAATTTTTTTAATATCATACTATGACAAGCCTCAATTTAGCTGCTACACATTTTGTAAGAAAAAAGGAATAACTGTCCACTGGTAATTCTGCAATCCAAAACTAAATGCAACAGAAAATTTCAGTATTCATTAAACATTTGTTTAAGAACACAACAGACTGCATCTATCCGTTACGGTGAGATGACGAATACAGCTTCTGGGTTGCAATCTAAGGCTATAGGCTATGAGACCCCACTACAAGACATGCAGCTGCTCTGCAAATGCAAGCTTGAGATTCTCATCTTTCACAAAAAAGATACATTTTAATCATCCAATCGCTTAAAATATATAACCAGTAGAAGAGATTCCACAGGTAGCTGATGATTCTTCTTAACTAACCAAACATTACTTCGAAACTTGCACACATGGTTGATTTTGTTACCTAGGTAATTCCAGATATGTATATCTGCACCATTTACATTCAACTACAGAAGTTGAGTTTTATCACTTACGCCTGAATTTCACATGCAAAAGACTCTCTCTATTCGTTTTTACAGTAAAATTCAAACTTCACATTCTACACTTGAAATTAGCACAATACTTCTAACATATCATCTAGGATATAAAACTCCCAGAATCAAAATCTTTAACGTTGGAAAAGATCTCTAAGATCATCCAGTCCACCTACCACCGAACCCGCTCACTAGATCATGTCCCTAAGTATTACATCTGCCCTTTCCTTAGACACCTTCAAAGACGGTGAGTCCATCAGCTGGGTGGGCAGCCTGCACCAATGTACCACCACTCTGCTTGTCCTCTTCCTAAGCTAAAAAGTCAATCACTGCATGAAAACACAAATCCATGCTACAGCTCATCCTGTAGCTTTGTTATTTTGTTCCACAGATTCTGAAATTCAATGTGGTTATCCTGTATAAGTCATGAAACACAATTCCTTCCTCAGATTAATGCTAGAATAGAAGAGGCTCTTTGTGGGTAAAAAAGCTATCTGTGGGGAACTCTGAAAAATGACCTAAGATACTAGAACATTGCAAACAGGAAGCAGAGTCCCACTAAGGAGATAGCAAAGCATTACTGACAAACATATTAGTCTTGAAAGAGCAGTCTTCAGCGTTAGAGCCATTCTGCAGACAAAATCATTTATCCTGGATTTCTATACTCATCAAGCAACTTTTTCCTTCTATTGTCTTCATAAATTTTCCATTCAAATTTGACAAAATAAACCAACAGTTAAGACGCAGCTCTGAAAGAAAGCCTCTCTGTCTACACTGCAGTTACACAGCACAGGAACATCCACAGGGATTGTAAGCTACGGAAATATAACCTTGATAAATCAGAGAGTTACACTCCCAAAAAACAATTCTCTAAGCCTTGGGTTCAGGTTGCACAGCATGGAGACAAGACCAGCAAGCTAGGCAGCAGATACGACACACGGTCTAAAGCACTGAGTTAAAAAATAACTTTTCCAAGAAGATCCAGTCATGTTAAACATATTAACTACAACTGAGGTGTACACAAAATCGAAACAGAAAGTTTGCATTTTTTCTGCTTTTCTTCTTTTCTTTCCCAGGAAAATCCTCCCTGGATTTGAACCTGTTCCTCACAACTTGAAAAACCCTGAACCACTATGTTTGGCAGTAGTTTACATCCTACCAGCTGTGCCCTGGATTACTGGCACCGTTCCTTATCATGGAATCCAATTTATAATTTACTATTTGGTTTCCAAATCCCATCGCCTAAACTCCTGCTCTCTGCCACCAACACTCCTGCCCACTCACAATACTTCACTGCTGGGAAATTCCTCCCTCACTCTCTGCTATCAGGAGCAGCGAGCGCTCTGACCTCTGAGTCAGTCCAACTGCAACAGATGAACGCTTCCCATGAGAAGCACTGCCTGATAAAGCAAGAACAGGACACTATGTAAAACGTATTCTGCACTGAACTCTGTTAATCTCAGAAAGCAAGGGTTAACTACAGCTGCTGAAAGGCAGGATCCAGCTGCATGAGGCTGTATTACTTTGCTCCTTAAACAGCTACCATTTTTCCTCAGGCAAAAGCTCTCTGGGCAGAAATGATGGGAACAGCTACACCCCCACCAGCAGTGCATGAAGCACTAGCATGGCCACTAAATACAGCTGCACTAAGCTCCTGAAAACACTAAGTATGCTGCAAGACTGAAAGGGAAACTTCTTCTAATTGCGTACTCAGGACAGGTACCACATCCAGAACTGAACATTTGGATTTTGTGTTGAGGGACATGGTTTAGTGAGTACTATCGGTGATTGGTGGATGGTTGGACAGGATGATCTTGAAGGTCTTTTCTAACCTTGGTTATTCTGTGATTCTGTGAACTGAAATATTAAATTCTGATTTCCTGATAAAAAAATGGCAGTAACAGGGAGAAGCACACATAAAAATGAAAGATTCTTCTTCAGAAAGAGGGTTAATATGTGAGCAAATTACTGGCACTAAAGGTTAATTGCTTTCACTCCCCACCCCTACAAAAAAAAAATACATTAAAAAGGACATATTTATAGAGATTGCCTCTTGCCATGCTTTTTGTAGCTTTAATCATTTATGGTGATCTCATCTCAACATCTTAATTAACACATGTAATGAGGATGGATTTGGACTACAAGCTATCATGACAGTTCACCACCTTTCATGGTATATGCTGAGCACAGCACTTTGCAACACAGCTTCCTAATTTTGTTATCAGTATAATACATTTAGGTGAAAGTAAAGATTAAAAGGGCACACCTCCTATTTAAGAAAGACTGCAAATAAATGTTTTATTTGCTAATGTAAGTGCAGATAAAATAAGCTATTGCTGTACCCAGAATACGAAGCTTGACTGCATAGATACAAGACAGGCTCATAGTGCAAGATCAGCACTAGCATAAAGGAAGTAGGGATAAGAAAGCAGTTGCAATCTTTCTGGTGTTAAAACCGCACGGCTGAAAACTACCTTAGGAGGAATGTGCTGTCCCTAGCAAGACTTCAGATGACGCCACTTTGCTTATACAACAGAGTAAGTTGTATTTCAGTTACATTTAACTTATTTGAAGCTAACTCCATAGTTAAGTTCATGAACAGCAACACTGAAGAATCAACAGGACACTCTGCTTTAAGTTAAAAAAAATAATAACAATTAATTAAAACCTCTATAATGAGGAATTCACTGCTTTTGATTTGTGTTCTGCTTTTCCAGAAAAAAAAAGTCTTCTGCATTAAAGGGCAGTCTGGTGAGCATTTCCAAGCTCTCCATCATCCATCGAAGTTCTGTGGGGCACTAATTCAAAAGAATGCAACAGCTGTAATGAAGAGATGACATGTGCGATGCACACAGAATCACAGAACTGTAGGGGTTGGAAGGGACCAGAGATCATCGAGTCCAACCCCCCTGCCAAAGCAGGTTCCCTACAGCAGGTCGCACAGGTAGGCATCCAGGCAGGTCTTGAACATCTCCAGAGAAGGAGACTCCACCACCTCCCTGGGCAGCCTGTTCCAGTGCTCCGTCACCTCACTGTAAAGAAGTTCTTGCGCACATTTGTGCAGAACTTCCTATGCTGCAGTTTCCAGCCGTTTCCCCTCGTCCTGTCTCCACTCACCACTGAAAAGAGTCCATCCTCGCCATTCTGCCCCCCACACCTTAGATATTTATAGACCTGGATCGGTCCCCTCTCGGTCTTCTTTTCTCAAGGCTGAACAGACCCAGTTCACTCAGCCTTTCTTCAT